ATATATATATATATTCTGAGACCTGATGTGCATGACAAACCTTTTTGGAAAGTAAATACTTTCTCAACTAAAAAAGTATTTTCAATCATTTTTGATTCCGTATTACTATCCATTAAAAAGTTATCTTTAGGTTGATTTTTGACTAAATTTTAACTTTTCTGGTTTAAATCTATATCATTAAATATAGTTTTAGCTTAACATGCATTAAATAGTAGGAAAGTACAGATTACTCACTTGTTTTTGCATATTGTTTCAATGATGTTCATAGCAATAAATTATTAGTATAAGAAGGTAATGCAAAGGAAGAGCATTATTAGGATGGAAGGTAAAATTGGTCACATTACTTGAACATCTCCCAGAATGATACTAGATTTCATACAAGATAACAATACCTTTAGAGTTAGCTTTAACCAGCAAAGGCAAAAAATGCAAAACACCTTTTTTGATATTTTAGTTGATGAAAAATGCCAACCAGTGGCCTGGATTTCAGAGTCATGGTAACTTAGAAATATGAATATTCATAGCAAATCACCACTGTCTATGATTGCCAAGTAATTATGTAAGAAGAGTCTTAAAGGCTTTTCATGACCCGAAACTAGATGGTATAAAACTAAAATTTAATGCCCATTACTTCTGTTTCAGGTTTTTATCTCTTTTTAATTCGCCAGGTTAAAGAATTCGCAAGTCTTTTCCCCCCTCACCTCTCTCATTCAGTCTTACTCAGGGAAAGCCAGTGAAATAAAAAGGGAATACAAAACCACTAATTTACAGTTTAAGTTTTTAAAAAAATGGTTTCTCTTCCATTTGATCTAGTAACTTGAACTAGTTTCATCTGGAAAGATTCTAATATATTATAAAAAATAAATTGAGTGGTGGTGTATCGGTGAGGCATGATGCTTGGGATTGATTTCAATGTTTCTTCCCAACATAAATTTTAAAATTTCATGCAATGATATCATCTAATATCGCCAGTAAAATATTTCTAATTTTATTGGCCTACTTAAACATCTAACTGTTTTTCTTCCTGAAAGGAGAAAGAAAAGAGAGGAACATGAGTTAGGGAGAGAAAAAGATTAATAAAATCTGAGAATTTTCATACCAAAAGTATCAGGGTCCGTGCATAGTTTGTAATTAATAAAGGATTTCACACTACCTGGCATAAATTTGATTACATCTCTAGACTGTAACTTTTCTGATTGAGTATGCTTCTTTTTTATCCATGTAATGTGTTGCCTTTTTTAAAACAAACAAACAATTACTATAATAATGTGTGAGGTGGTCAGTCCCCAAGACATCAAAGAAAGGCCACACGATCTTACCCTTCTAGTGCTTTGTGTGATTGGGTATCTAAGGGGTTTGTTTTGTTTTGTTTTTCTGTTGCAAGGCCAATTTATCCATTACTGGAAATGCTAAGCAAGTGGAATTTACTGTTTTATTAATAAAATATTTCTTAATACAACTGTGGATTTATTGATTCAAAAATTATGTGCGGCACCACTTTGTGATAAAGTGGAACAGCAGGAAAGACTGCATTTGAAAAGAAATCCAGTCCTCAGCCAAGCAGAGGAATAATACTAACTTCTTTTTCTGTATTTTAAAATTCAGTTAAAGTTTCTACCTTCATACACTTAAAGATACAGCCACTAAATATATCTTTTTTATATCTGTTTGTTGTGTTTGTTTTTTTGGGTTTTTTTTTTCTTATTGAGTTTATTGGTACATTTTAGGTATACAGTACAGTTACATTCATCATTGGGATCTTGTGCCTTTACATGACAGGATATTTGAAGATACAAACTCACAGAACTAGTTGAAAACAACATGAAGATAATCATTTCATAAATAAAGTTTTCTCTCTAAAAAGAAAGGAACTCTGTGATTAATTCCAACACTGTCATTCACTAGCTAAAATTACCTACTTCTTTGATTCTTTTCTTAAATATGAATTAAGGAAAATAATACCAATCTCATAGGATGGTAAGGGAAATATAAACTGGTGTTATATCTAGCATAACTGAGTACAAATAAAAGGTAACTACTAGTAACTAGTATTTTACATAATAGTGGAAAACGTCAAAAATGTGTGCTTTGTGTTATCTTTAAAAATACAAAGGTGTAAAGGAACATACTTATTTGTCTCATATAAATATATTTATTTCTCACAAAGGGGAGTAGCTTTTTGGCAATCAGAGTACCCATCAGTAAGTTTTCATTGGAAACTTTTAAAATCTCTTTTTCCAAACATAAAAGATTTGAATATGTGCTCAATACAATCTGTACCTGTATTATAGATACAAGTGTAATTGAATTCTTAATATTGATATTTCTTAAATGTAATAAATAAAATAATCCTTTTTTTTTTTTTTTTTTTGGTACCGGGGATTGAACTTGGGTCCTTGTGCTTGCAAGGCAGGCCACCAAACCACTGAGCTAAATCCCTGGCAATAATCCACATTTTTAATGTCTCAATTAAAGGCTATGTAATTCAGCTCACCTTCAAAACATATAGCATTCCAAAGGCAGTAGCTATATAAAACCCATGGTTAATAAACAGTCCTGGGGGACTGGGAGTGTTAGATTCCCCAAAGCCAATGATTCAGTATCAGCTGCTACAAATGTATATGTGATTTTAAGTATGGTATAGTGATATTAAGTATATATAACTATATATGCATTTGAATATTTCTAATTTTATATATTATAATTTGGAAAAAGTTTGTAGGTGAACATTTTCCTGGGAAAAGTGTTTTATTAAGTCCATCAATTTCTCGAATCCGAAATTCTGAAATTCAGAACCAGTGAGATACTGGATATATACAAAACTTTGTTATAAAATTATACTAAAGTTGAAGGATTCATTGAATATCAAGAAAACACCATGGAGATCTCATGAATCCACTTTAGTAGTACCATTCTATTATATAGAAGAAATAACCTTGATTAACTAGATATCCAGCTAGCTAAACAGCTTTCATGAAAATTAATTCTTTTTTCAGTACCAGGGACCAAACTCATGACCTTGCACTTGCAAGGCAGGTGTGGTGCCACTGAGCTAAATACTTAGCCCTTGTGAAAATTAATCTTGTTTCATATTTACAAGTTCACTGTTCAAATTTTTATTTAGAATTATCATGCAAACTCTACTCATCACACATATATCCATTCTTGTGAACAACTTCATATTCATCTGATGGCAAACTTCTCCAAGGATTGGAGCACTTGATCTA